CTACCCCTACCACTACTACTACACATACTCATACCCCTACCCCTACCACTACCCCTACCCCTACCCCTACTACTACTCCTACCACTACCCCTACCCCTACCACTACCCCTACCCCTACCTCCTACCACTACCACTACCCCTACCACTACCACTACCTACCACTGGGTCATGTCAGGTCACAGAATTGGATCCGGCAATAAGTATTTTAAAAAATCAGGCTTAAAAAAGTTTCTAGCCCTGCTCCTATTCGTGCCATTCCATTACGCTTAACCTTATAGGTCGGAAATGGCGCATTGTGACAAATGTGGCGCATTGCGGTAAATGCGGCGCATCTGTACCTGTTGGCTGAATATGCATCCTGGCACCAAATTGCGCCCATATCGGACCATATTTAACAAAACTGTTCGATTTGCGGCAAAAATGACGCCCTGAGATAATTGTGGCGCATTGCGGCAAACGCGGTGAATTTGTAAACTCGTATCACAAACTGTTTCCATCGAACGAAAATCAACACATTTTTTTCGCCACCATTTATCAAAATCAATAATTTCACCATCCGCCAATGCGAGGCACCCGCCACCGATCGGCATGCATTTAGCTCAGTAAGTTTGTCGACCCCGGCTCTCAATGAAGATCTACGAACCGATCAAAATTTCATTGGCGTTCTTCCAGCGCGCCCCACGCGCGAACCGTGCACCCCAGCGAGTCGGAACCTAGAAAAGGCGCTGACCCGCTCTGTCACCTAGAAGGTGTGCAAATTTCAACCCCCTACGATATACCGTCTGCCCTGTAGGCCGGCTAAATTGAACCCACTACACGGCGTGGCGGACAAACAGACAGACGGATCCTGTTCAAATAGTAATATAGACAAGCGGCTGCGCCACTTGCTTTGCTGCGTGGTAGGAAAAAATTGCGGCACCAGCCAATTTGCTTTCGAATGGTGTTTGATTCAAGTCGATGTGTCGTCTAGAAGCATAGATATGGACGGAAATGTGAAGAGAATTTAAAAAAGAACTGTCCTGAAGGCGTTGTTGGATGAAATTTGGGTGATACGGGGTCAATACGGGTCAAAGGGGTCAGCCCCGGTCGGTTTGGGTCAGGCCAGGTCACATAGGTCACCTCTCGTCCACTGGGATCAGCCCGGGCCACTGTTCTGCTTTTGCCTCCACCACTACCCCTACCCCTACCACTACCCCTACCACTACTACTACCCCTACCACTACCCCTACCCCTACCCCTACCACTACCCCTACCCCTACCACTACCCCTACATCTACCCCTACCCCTACCACTACTACTACCCATACTCCTACCCCTACCACTACCCCTACCCTACCACTACCCCTACTACTACCCCTACTACTACCCCTACCACTACCCCTACAACTACTACTACTCCTACGACTACCCCTACCCCTACCTCTACCACTACAATACCCCTACCACTACCCCTACCACAACCCTTATCACTACCCCTACCACTACCCCTACCACTACCCCTACCACTACCCCTACCACTACCACTACCCCTACCCCTACCACTACCCCTAACCCTACCACTACTACTACCCCTACCACTACCCCTACTACTACTCCTACTACTACCCCTACCACTACTACTATCCCTACTACTACCCCTACCCCTACCACTACCCCTACCACTACCCCTACCAACACCGCTGGGTCATGTCAGGTCACAGAATAATTGGATCCAATCAGTACTAAAATATCAGACTTGAAGTGTTCCCAGCCCTGCCCCTATTCGTGCCATTCCATTACCCTTACTCGATTTTGTCGAAAATGGCGCTTTGTGACAAATGTGGCGCATTGCAGCAAACGTGGCGCATTTTCACCCGGTGATTGAGCATGCATCTTTGCACCAAATTGCGCCCATATCGGACCATTTTTAACAAAACTGTTCGATTTGCGGCAAAAATGACGCCCTTAGATAATTGTGGCGCATTGCGGCAAACGCGGTGAATTTGTAAAATCGTATCACAAACTGTTTCCATCGAACGGAAAATCAACACATTCTCTCGCCACTTTTTATTCAAATTAAAAACTTGCCCATCCGCCAATGCGAGGCACCCGCCACCGATCGGCATGCATTTATCCACAAAGTTTGTCGACCCCGGCTCTCAATGAAGATCTACGAACCGATCAAAATTTCATTGGCGTTCTTCCAGCGCGCGCCACGCGCGAACCGTGCACCCCAGCGAGTCGGAACCTAGAAAAGGCGCTGACCCGTTCTGTCACCTATAAGGTGTGCAAATTTCAGCCCCCTACGTCGTACCGTCTGCCCTGTAGCCGTAACAAATTGAACCCACTACACGATGTGCGGACACACAGACTCACAGACTCACAGACGGATTCTGTTTGAATAGTAAGTTAGATTAATACTTTTGACTGGAGACAATTCCAAGTGCATATTTTCGAATGGATGTGGTAAATGCATGAGGTATAAGGTATACCTATCGTGCACCGTCAGCATATAAGTCTTTGAAGCAAGAACTGCTGCGTATGTGGAAGAACATGGTTTTGTGCATCGCATCAAGCCAGAAGTATAACATGCCCGTATGACGAATATTTCCACATTGACCATAACAATCATGGCAGTTGCACGATCACGCAGATAATTCGAATAAAGCATGATCGCCAACCAGATTAGCTTTTACAGCCCATATATGTCCATCAGTTAAGTTAAAAATACAAAGAGTTGAATTAAAGGCAAATAAATGTATTTATATATAAAAAAACACCGACCGCAAAACATCTGCTCACATGTGCATGCAAAGGTCTGGCCCACTTACATTGCGCGCGCAGGGGAAGGGAGGCGTCTCGACCGTATAGGCACGATTAGTGCGTCCCGCAGGCCAGAGCGGGCCTCACTCACAGCACGAACACCACAGTTCACAGATTTCACTTTTTACTGCACAAATGCTGGAACAGCCCTCGTCGCTGATCCATGCTGCACGGCGGCCGCGCGACAACTGCTGGTTTGAACGGTTTGAAACCGCCGCGCCGGGGCCGGACGGCGACCGCTGATTGGTCCGCCAAGTCTGACGTCACGGGCGCAGCTGACCATGTGTATGCTGACCAGCTGACCAGTACAAGTTAGGCGCCGGTTAAATAACCATGCGGCAACAAGTTTCCAAAACTGGTTAAGAAACAAACGTTGAAACAAATGTAGAGTTGGTCTGGATACTGAGAAGTTGGTGTGCATAGTAACTATTGACTCGTAGTTGTCATCTGACAAGCAATGCACCAGACAACGGCTTGTTTGAAAAGTATCAGTTGGTAAACATACCAAGAGATGATTGGTTATATTACACAAGACTTGTCAATTTGGTTTACAGTGTACAGGGACCCGGAAAGGACACTCCTGCCCTGGCTGTGTCCTCTCGTCTGCAGGTCGGTATGCTGTACCATGCTGTACTATGAGATAAAGTGATTTGAAATAAGAACAGACTGATATATACCGGGTGGCCCAAAAAAAAACGTTCCGAACTTTGGAGGCCTATATCTCAAATTCGAGTGCAAATAACGAGCCAAAATTTTCATCAAGCCTGCGTCACTTCTTTGCGCATTGGTATGCCAAATTATAACACTGTACCATAATTTTCAAGCCAGCAATCTTATGTTGAATCAAGTAAGAAGTTTTTGCTTTTTTTTTTGCCGTTGTTGAACGGAAGTAGTGATTGGCTTAGACGTACCATGTTAGAAAAAAATACAAAAAAAAAATAGAACGACTTGAATGATACCAGCACGTGTGTTGCTATTTTATATATTTTTGTCACACTTATGTGCCAAAAATTCAAATACTAAGCCAAAGTTGTGTTAATGGATGCCATTCGTTTCAACACAAGTCCTGTTTCGAGGCGAAGGAGTGGCACGGTGTATGGGTTACTGCTGATCGCCCTCCCTTCAAGAAGATCAAATTGTAAATCGACCGAATAAGAAAAAAAGCTAGAGGGAATGTGTCACCCTGAGGCCTGAACCACCAATGAGACTAGTTGCCAGTAGCAGTCATGGCTGTAGGCCGTGGTGCCGAGATGGAAGTGGCCCGTTCACTCACATTTTTGGTAAACATCAGAGCAAAAAAGTGATTTTTACATGGCATGCTAGAAACACGAACCGTTTAAAAAGTAATTGACCGAATAACATAAAAATCATACCATTCACTGAAAATATATGTCGCATTGACTACCGGAAGTTTCAATGTTGTATCTTTATCACTTTCTGAGAAATATTGATTTAAAATTGGGAACGTTTTTTCTGGGCCACCCGGTACATATGCCAGTCTGTTCTTGTTTTATAAAACCATTATATTATAAATGTTGTATGTCGGCAAAATTTCGGTTCCTTAGTAAATTATAAGCCATAGTCCATTTATAAATATATTTTTTTTTTTGCATCACTGCTTATTGTCTATATCAGACCGTTTTCCTTTCGCGAAATCGCGAATTTCACGAATACATTTCAAGTTATTTGAGAAAGCGGCACCGTCTTGTGAGCGATGCCTTCGGCATTCTTGCGACCATGATGCACTCATGATGATGAGCTCAGTATTGTTACGGTAATGATGGAATAACGATCGAAGTAACAAAGTTCTGGGCAAACACTGACGTTGCAAATTGCAATCTTGTACCTGGTTCTAGAAACGTGAAAGCATTCGCATTCGAATGAATGAGTGGATTCATGGATGCAGACAGCATGCTTGCTATATCAGAAATGACTTTTTAGACTAACGAACAAATCTTACCGATAACGGAATTCGGTCAGCAGTCGGCACCAAAGCGAAATTGAAAAAGTTTCTCATCAGGCACAGCGAGTTGGTATTTTAGGATGACATCCTGGGGCCTGAAAGTGATAACGGGAAATACTTTCCGATGATAGGAGACGGTTCACCTGATTTTCAAAAGACGTAAAATATGTAGATGACTATTTCGTTATCGTTAATGCTATATTAATCAATGATCGTTTGACATCGCTCTATCGCTATGTCGGCCAGGTACCCGCACCTGGACCTATGTGAGGTCAGCAGTACCAGCAGCTCGACCAACAGCAGCGTCCATCACGGCGAGGGAGTCCTGTGGCGTTTCCTGCCGCTGGCTGACCCGTCTGTGGAGCTGTTCATCAGTCGCGACCTCGACTCCCTCCTGGGACAGGTGAGACCCGGGTGGAAGTTTGGCTTAACGGTTATCAAAGAATGAATGTTTCTCCGCTTTTTTGTATTTTTAACGTCTTAAGAAAGTTGAATTGATTTATTTAATTGCTATGTAGGTACACAGTTACCTTAGCGTGTAATAAATGGCACTTAAAATTGAATCGTCGACTATCGTTTATCTTCAAAGACCACATAGGTATTTCTTTTCGCGAATCATCCGAGGGGGATGTGAAGGCACTACAAGCATGAAGTTTAGCTATGTCGTGGTATGAGAAGATATTGTCCTTTAGGTACTGGCATACATTTCACCTAATTAATATCGAATTAGATATATGCAGGTACGGAAGTCCCGGCGAATGCATCAAGGCCTAATATTATATCGAGTAATTCGAACTCACCGTTTCGGGAAACGAGCCAAAAATTGGTCGATCTGCGATGACATTACGCTACCCCGACCCTAAACCGTGCAGAAGTAGCACACGTATATCACATGACCGTGATTGCGTCACGCGACTCGGGATGAACCGGGAGGATAATTCAGTGGCTGGATGGACGTCCTCCTCGCCTGGACCAGGCGGCGGATTCGATTTTGGCGTGGGGGGGCAAGATCCCAGTCGAGATGATGTCATATGCGGATCCAGAAAGGCGTTTTCGACGCTGTAGGGGACATACCCCCCAAAAAAGTGTCCAAAATCCAAAAACTCATCGGATTTCGATTCCTTACTGATCTTCTGCTGAACAGTATTAAGCAAAAAAAAAAATCCTGATAAAAAACTGTTTTATTAGGAAACATAAGGTACGTTTTGTCTATTTCGGGCGATGCAGGGGCCAGGGGAGGGAGAATAAATGTTTGCTTTAAATGCCCGCTCCCTGGATCCGCCAGTGGACGATGTAACGCTTTTCGTATTGCTGTGTTAGAAAAAAAAATCGCTAATGGGAAAAGTTGTGCCATAACCCGATCGCATATTAGATGTTGAAGAACGATTCCAAACCTTTTGAAGTAGGCGAGCGCTATTCTTCAATGAGGTAACTCGTTACCATTTCCTCTGTTCATTTTACGTTCGATTTCCGTTTAACCTTCCTTTAAAAAGTATTTCTGAGACAGATATCAAATGAAACTAGCTCACAGCGGGAGGAGACCGCTCAAACATTCAGAGATAGTCGGTCGCATCCTATTGGGACAGCGATCCGCCAGAAACACTCCCCAAGGCAGTGGTTCGCCAACTAAGCTCACCGAGACGGGCTGTCTCGATGGGTTTATACAGTTAGCCTACAGCAAGGCTTAACTAAGGCCCAAACGCTCGTCAAGCTGGGAACGAAGGGCTGAGGTGAGGGAGCGCGGCGGTGGGCTGGGGTGAAGGAACGGTGGACTGGAACGAGAATCCAGAAGCTCTTTTTGTTCTTGTTTTGTTTTGTTTTGTTTTGTTTTGTTTTGTTTTGTTTTGTTTTATGTTGTTTTGTTGGGTTAGGACCTTTCGGTCTGACGAGACCATTTCAGGGCCGGAAGGATGATAGGAATTAGGGGGAGACATTGGTCTGGGTTGACACCCTGGAGTCGCCGGGGCTGAGCCCGCCCGAAAGGACAGGCCGATCAGCCCCCCAAGCACTCTCTGCACCCGGCTACGGGGTGCGCTCCGTCGAGAGCAGTGGTGCCGCTCCAAGGGAGCAGCCCGCATGAGGTAAAGGTGCCTGTCCAGCCCGGAGTAGGGGTTGCGGCGTGGAGGAGAAGGATTTATGTGTCCTGAGGATGGAAGCGATGGAACGGAGCTGCCAGAAACTCTTGGTAGGGCGTTTCTTTATTAGGGCTTTAGGGTGCGCTGACTGCGGTAAGGTCCAAATTATCACACTAAATTTTGTCACATCTACCGGTTCAGGCACTCGAGAATCAGCGGCCAGTGATATCTGCAAAGACGAAGCATTTCCAACCCAGCTTCAGCCTGGTGTCAGGGTGCCTCAGGTGGCTTTAATTACAGTTGCACATACCAAACGACCTCAGTGCAGCCAGTCCATGTGGCCGAAACCATTCGGAACAGACTTCAACAAAAAGTGAGACAAGGTTAGTGCTATCGTTAAGTGCCATTATAGACTTGGTCCCCGTTGGCTTGACCCACTGGAAGGTGGTAGTTATCGGACGCTGTGGGGCATACTCATTTTTCCAAAATGCCTCAGATTTTGCTTTCTTGTTCATAGGCGGCGGAACGGGGAGGGCACCGGGGCACCGTGCCCCCCTTTGATTTTGGCATTTTTACGTTGGCCCTATGGACGTTGCATGGAAAGAATGGGACCAAAAGTCGGCAGTGCCCCCCCCCCCCTCCCCTTAATTGAAGGTGTTCCGCCGCTACTGTTCGTGTTTGATGCTCTTTATTCTATAGTCAGCCTTTAGACAGAAGGGGGGGGGGCCACTGGCACTAATGATCAGTGCCTTACCCTCAAAAGTTTCCAACATAAATTTTTACTTTTTTAATAGTGAAAACTGAAATAAAGCGGATACTGAACTGTGAGCATCCAGTTTTTACACTGGCCCCACACAAGCCTCCGAATGCCCAAAGCAGATCTCTGATGACTGGCCTTTGGGTGTCATACCATACCGTGCATTGGTCAATGTCGTCAATGTGTACGACCTCGGCCTTTACCATTTTATGCGCTGGAAACTGTTGCGCTCGAAAAAATCAGGGGAGTGGCTTATTATGAGCGCTCATCAGTCCTAACTACCCGCAAGCGAATGGCTAGCCCTTCTGTCTCCGCTCGCTTGCGATTTGGCATTTATGTAGGTACAAAATAGAGGCAAATGACCACTGAAGGTATGAGTTGCGTCTCTTGCACACATCTACATATAAATAGAATCTGAAGAGACAAAAAAAAATATATATAAAGCGGAAATAGTTAGCATTTACACATATTCAAAAGGCACCGTTGGACAAACTGTAGGAGCGCATAGCTATTAGCTGCAATATCAGATTATGGAAATTTTCCTCATGTTTAGGGCACAAATTATGGAGGGGCAAGAATATACGTTTGCCCCTCCTCCAAAAGTTTCTTAGGGAACGATGCCTCCTCTGCCACCCCGCATCCGTCGCCCCTGTAAACGGTCACTGAAGGCCTGGGTTGCCGCTGCGTCACGTTGACGCTTATAATGCCTCCAAAACTAGGTTGAAGAGAGGAAAACTTCAATTGAACGTAAACGCTTGCCATTTAAGAAAGGCAACGTATGATAAAGTATATGGGCATCTGGTTATATCTTCAGATGATCGAACGGAATAATCAGGTATATGGTTTCTTGTCTAAGCTTTGTCGCAAATTATGGGGGGGGGCAAAAAGATATGTTTGCCCCCCCACGAGTTTGCCAGGGGGGGCAGCTGCCCCCCCTGCCCCCCCGAATCCGCCGCCCCTGGGCCGCCTGGTGCCAAGAGCCCGGTTCACCGTGGCAGGGTGCACTAACACTGAGATATGGGAGTGCTTGTATGATGCTGAAAAGAAGTTCTGAAACTGGTCATGAATAACCACATGCGATGATAAGCAGCATATAAAAATAATGTTACCTACCAAGTACCACCCTGCTGTAGGCATCTCTGTGTGACACTTGTGGAGCTTTTATGAAGTTGTTTCACATGTTATACATTTTCGATGGTAGCTAGTGCAGAGTGCTCAAGCCCTCTTATTACCGTCACCACTTCGTCGTTTTGTTCCCAGTCTGTCAACGAAAAGGGGAAACAACGAACACGGAACAGTCATGAACCGATCGTCATGGGCTATAGGCCTTCCGCTTTACACAGTAACACAGCCCAACTCTTGAGTCTTGACCGACCTTTTCCGTCACTTCTGAACTAATCTATGTTTTTTTTTCTAGAGAGAGAGCGACGCAGTACAGGAGTGGATCAAGTCCGGTAAAACCATTCACGTGATGAGAGACCACCCTCTTCACTCCGTCAGCATTCTGGCAGGCGCCTGGGGAGCCCGAAACCACCGCTCTGACATCTATCGACCGCTGCGAGAACGCCTGGTGACTGTCACTGACACCGCAGCGCTGGTGCCCGGCGAGGACCAGCTCCGCCTCGAGAAGTTCGTGTACGGTCCTGCTGTGGAGCGAGATGATGTTTTGGAGCACGACAGCTACTTCTGTGGCCTGTTCGGGCCTTCACGACCCTTTCCTAGTCGTAGATATCTAAGCACGTACCCGCACTTTGTTGGTGATCGGGTAATGTTTCGAGACTACGTGAAGGAGATGCGGACGAATGAAAACTGGCTGTTTTATATTCGAAAGTGCCCGGAGAAGTGCCGTCCGAGTAGTCACCTGGACTGGCTGTGGTGCTAGGAGTGCGGAGCTATATGTGCTGATTAGAAGTAGAGCTGAAGCTGGTGAGATTAGAGTGGGCGGGGCAGGGATGGCTGTGCCTACGCCCTACATAGGTACATGAAGGCATTACGCTTAACATTTATCGGGTGGAACAGGACGGAAGCCTCTGTAATAATAATGCTCTAAATGAATCATAGCTAGATATCCAGGGCTACTGTGATACTTATGGCGCTGTGGCCTGTGACGCTTAAGATGCTGAGGCTGAGCTGGATGTAAGCGGCTTACTGTAAGCCCGTATTGCATTTGTATGTACCTACTTATTGATGAGCTTTTGTATTGAATAAATAAGAGCATTCGCAGCAAAAATTTGCATAACTTTAAAATATGCAATGATGGTCGACAACAAGCGTAAAAAGGAGCACGACACTCCGCGCGTCACCACTCACCTATTGACCTTACTTTACCTAGCCTAAACTGTCACCTGAATATCTTCGACCATTTTTCACTGGCCTTTTTGAAATACTACGAGTTAATTCAGACTATTTTTACGTGCTGTTTCTGAGACCTCTCTAAAAGACTTCAATGTTTTGTAAAAGATTGCAGCGTTTTAGTGACTGGTCTTTGACCTTGACGCACCTTCCTATTCGTTTGTCTCCGCCCCCCGCCGCTGCTGTCAAATCTTTGAGACAGGCAGCGGCGTGGGGTGTCTGGGGCGCTCGTCTGAAGCTGAATTCGTTCATCCTTCAGATTGAAAATTGATAAAAATAGAAATAATTAAGTATACTATTCAGTGGTACATTTTACCAGTGCCCGAGAAGATTTACGTGCCAGTTTTGAAGAAATTGAGCGTGCTGTGACACAGACAGGTGTGACTGAATTTGGTGAAGCAACGTTTTAATTATCATTCGTACAGTGCATGTGCTGATTACATCAACTACCTAATTTCCTAATGGCTGGAAAATTCAATAAGAGATTTTACCGGTCTGATAGTTTACACGATCTTTTCTTAGACAAGGGCAAAGAAGCTTCGGAAACCAATCAATGGCTGTTTGAGGTCAGTCATGAGGCAGCAAATAAAGGTAAGCCAGGACCTTGGCCAGACTAGCAGCTGGGAAATGACATTATTTCTTGTATTTTGTTCAGGATGGCTATAGTATTTTTCTCATTTTTTACGCGCCTCAATTTATTCATAGGGTTCCGTTCATGGTAGTGTTGATACACATTAATAAAGGCAGATGTTAACAGTTTGCACTACCTGTTTTCCTATTTCATTGTGAATAATATTTATATCTTGATTTTTTAATTATTTCATCATTTTCCTCCTTATATACATGGTGTGTGATAGGTACACAATGCTCTTGGTTGCTAGTAATAGGTGAGTTAAACAGGTGAGTTAAACAGCTGACTTAGGGAGTCAGGACAGTCAGACTAGGACTGGAACAATATTTGCACCATATTCCTCAAATTCATATAGCTCAATCAAAAAGTCTGAAGCAACCAAAAGCATGGTGTACTGCACACATTGTAGGTATATACCTGACAACAAAAATGGCCATATTACTAGCAACCAAGAGCATTGTGTCAGGGGGATGGCTGCTGCAAGCATAAGACCACTTCAAGAAATTTGTGCATAATGTCTCCCATTGACAAATTTTCCACATTGAAAAAAGACTTTGCATGTTAAGAAGGAGTTGAGGTAGAATTTATTTCTATTTAAACATTTCAGGCTAAAAGTATAATTGACATACCTACCTATTTTGAACTGTGGCCATTAGTTGTATCAGCTAAGTTAAAAATTGTTTGATTCATGAACTGAAAAGCAGACAGCCTGCTACAGTGTGACACCTAGGAGTGCTATTCACGACCAAATGGTCTTTTTAAGGTTTAATATTGTCCTTCAGCTTTACCCTCTGGCTCAGTAGTTCAGTTTAAGTTCATAGAGGCAAAACATCATGACAACCCCTTTCATCACTAGGTAGTAGGTACCTCATTTTTGAATAGTCCATCCTACACTGTGCTGCTCCTAGTCTCTCATGATACATACTCATGGTGTCTCCTTAATTACACCTCAATTTGAATGAAGTTTAAAGGAAATCTATCTTCTACTCCATTGCCAGGCTAGATAATTTTTAGTGAACTCCAAATGAAGTATTTGTAGTAATGTTACATCCATACATACATACCTATGTACTTGCTAGATATTCATTCATTGGTCCGCTTTTTAAAGTTTTAGGCTTGAAGTGTTTTCTTTTAAACAGCGATGGTGGTCTTCATAAAATTGACCTGACACCTAATCACAGCTTTGGCAAATCAGAGATGCACCATAATTACTCATTTGGCAGTTTCTGATTCTTGCTGGTGAGGGCCCTCAAGCACAGTTTGATATCAAGATTCTTACGTTTATACCACTCGAGTATTTTGCTGATACGTTTATACCGTACTTTCATACCGCTCGATATACGATTCTGTGCCTGATATATGATCCGTTGCTCGATATATGATTCTCTTGAAGGGGGTGGTTTGCGGTTGGTGGGAGCTGCAGCCGCCGCGCCGGTACTTCGAAGCTAGTGAATGAGTCGGAATGTCTTAGACCGTAAACGTGCCCAACATTTTGGGCGGCGGGCCCGCTAAACTTTGGCTTTTCAAGCCCCCCCCCCCCCCCCCGATTACATCGAAATAATTTGCAATTTTGACCTTACCTTGTCGTAGCTGTTAGCGAGACGATTGAGGTTGTCTGTATCATACCTTTGCTATGTGTCATACGTGTGTCTAATTCTATGGTGTACCTGAGAAACGGTGGCGGTGCACCAAACTGCTTTTAGACATTCGTTATAATCGAGTGTGGTGATTTTAGAGGAAAGATTCGAAACCCGTTATGAATCCAATACTCGTCTGCTCGTTGCAACACCCTTATGCGCACATTGTGGACTGGAAATTAGTTTTTCATATATTTTACCCGAATGTCTGAATGGACCTATGGACACAGTCGGACAGGGCCAGAGCCCACTACTGTAAGTCAACTGTAAGCAAAGCTTGTTCCGCAGGCCCCCGACCCCTACCGTCTTTTCGGGAAATTCCGGGTAACGGAGGAATTTAGGTGTCAAAAAGGTGTAGGCGTTCCCATGAAAGCCGGTCACAATCCGTCCCATTCAACTGACTTCAACTGGCTGCAGCTTTCCCCACCAACCGCAGACCATTCCTTTCAGACGTCTCGTATATCGAACGCCAGAGTGAGCCGAATCCGGGCTCTCATCACCGGGAGTCCAGCTTACTGCTAACAGAGCTACGAGACGGACACTGAGTTACAGGACTGACTTGATTAATGAGTGTTTGCTCTTGTCTAATTTGTGGGTTTGAGTAGCGTCCACTTGGCGTTTATTCCTTTAATTCGATGTTTTCAGCTGCAACTGTGCCTTTTGGCTTCAACTTTCTGAAAAGAACTTCAAGATGTCAATCATTGTGTATGTAGATGATTATCCATGCACTTGCTTGGCAACACTGCACACTGCACGTGGCCGCACTCGGCAACGGTGATCAGCCATGCGAGTCGTGAGCGCCGAGCTTGGCAGACCGGAAAATGGCTTCGAGAGTATTTATAGCGTGGCAACGGAATGCAGCCGATGACGTGTGTCCAAAATGTTAAAACTCAGAGTTATTTGACTCCCAGTTGAGATCATGCAGGTGACGTGCTCGTAAATACGATTAATTTGTCGGTGCCTTTTGCTTGATGGCTTGATGGCTTGATGATTATTTTTATCCATTGATCATTTCTACCATGTTTGAATCGTTGTCGGATATAACTTTGCTCTGATGAAATGTTCAGTATCATAAGTTCAACTACGTCACCTTATGGCAGTGGTCGGCAGGTCATTCGGGGTCGTGCCCCCTTTTTGGGCGTCAGGCAGGGCCATTACCCCCACCTACCAGACCCCATTGCTGACACAACCAAGTTTACTGAAATTCCATACCGTCCTGGAACTCTTTGGGTCCAGGGTATTTGTGCATTTCCAATGCATCAAATTTAAAACATGACACTTCCTCCACAAAACATTTAATACCTATATCCCAGTAGCGGCGGAACACCTTCAATTAAGGGGGGGGGGGGGGGCACTGCCGACATTTGGTCCCATTCTTTCCATGCAACGCCCATAGGGCTAATGTTAAAATGCAAAAATCAAAGGGTGCACGGTGCCCCGGTGCCCTCCCGTTCCGCCGCCTATGCTATATCCTATTTAACCCTTGTACGTATAGGGGCGGCGGGTGGTTTTTCGTTAAAAGCTCACGTAAAAGGCATTGGATCACGATCAAATTGTACCCTCGAGCCCATCATTTTTTTTTTTTTACCAGCCCGGAAAATATCATGACCTGAGACCAGTTTTACCAACAGAAAAATAACCGCCTGCCGGAATTTTTGCCTCAAGACCGCTTCACATACGCGATGGGCTCGTAAGCGGATAGGGCTTTACCGTTTACGCTCCATATGTGAAACGATCTTTAGGCAAAAAATTCCGGCAGGCGGCTATTTTTCTGTTGGTAAAACTGGCCTCTGGACCCATAATGACCGTTGGCTTATGAGCTTTTTCTGGAGATCATCTTGAGCCATAAAATCTCACTTCAAGAAGTTATAGCGGGTCCCGATTTTCTCGACACTTGCCATTGCCCTCTTGAATGAGACGGAATGACCAAAGACCTTAAAAATGGGCAGCAGCGGCTTCCTATTGTCACGGGTAGCACGCTCGTCTTTTTTATGCACAGCTCCATCTCAGAGTCCGAGAGGCCGCGGGGGTCCGATCGACTCCTCCCCCTTACGTTAGCGGCTGTTGAAACGCCAACAGACGGGCGACGGTTAGAAGTTGCGGCTGCTTTTGTACGACTGTACGAAGGGGTGAGATGGTGAGGCGAGCAGGTACGTGAAAATTGGTATCTAATCAATGTGTGCTGTGCCTTTGGCCTACAGGCTAATCTTTGAACCCTGGGATGCAACAGTCACGATGGCTCCATCACTGGAGCTACAAACTCCAAAAAGATAGGCTTTCTCAGAATCCCTCATTACCCCCACCGAAAGGGCTCCATTACCCCCAAAGGGGGCATGCCCCACCATTTGCCGACCCCTGCCTTATGGCGTGCCGTAATAGCGGGCCGATGTCGCGCGGCGGCGTTGGCCCGGGTCCGGACGGGCGCCTGACCGTCCTCTGGTGGGCGCCGGTCACATGGCGCCCCCGTCAGCCGACGCCACAAGGTCACCCGGCTGGCAGCGGCCGCCGTCTGTACGCCAGTCACGTGACACGGCCACCGGCACCCCGGCCGTCTGTACGCTTAGTCACGTGACACGATCGCTGAGTCCGATCGGCTGCGTCGAGACGGTGCCTGCGGCCGGCCACCGCGCCGCCGCCGCTCGGGCGATCCTCCGACACGCCCCCAACCCCTCCCCTACCCCAGCACACCCATTCCTGGCCCGTCTGCCCGCGTGTGGGTCGGTGCTGACGCAATGGGATCGATCGTGGATGGGGACGGATGGCTTCCATGCTTCGAAATTCTGAAAATAACGCGATTGGATCTTATTCCTACATGCTATTCCAAAAGGTAGTTTTTGCTATTATATTGTTGTCTTTGACTTACGTTTGTCTTGTGACCACAGGATCAACTTTGTTTTAATATTTTTAATGCGAATCATGCAACTATTCATGGAGATAGTGGCGACTTGAGTATGACAGATTTATGCATGTAGTTAGGTATGTGTTTCAACCATGCCACATTTTGGCACCATATCAGAAGTATCTAATTTACGACGGAAATGATTATTTGGGAATCGCTAATCGCCTTGTCATCACATTGTGCAGAAAACACCCCATTGATGAAGACTCATAGTTTGCTGGTTTTGGTGGCGGGAGGCCCAACATAGACCTGTGCTGACGATGGAAGAAATGCACACTCCTTGATGCATGCACATCACGTGATGTCGAGTCCTTATTTGGACAGCATGGTTTACATTTCAGTGACCCGAAGTGCCGAACCCATGCTGCTTGTCCGTGGGATATGCCACTTTCGACAGATCATTGGCTGGGTTCCGTTGCTACGCTATAAATACTCTCTTGACCATTTTCCGGTGGCGCTCACGACTCGAACGGCTGATCACCGTTGCCGAGTGCTTCCACGTGCAGTGTTGCCACGTGCACGAATAATCATACGCTCAGTTTCAGCGTAAACATTCCACATGGTCCGGGCCTGTATCATAAATGCCTACGTCTGGTTTCAGTCGGAGGAATCTATACCGTTATCCGGTCCAAGTGCAATGTGACAGTGGAGGAGTGGGGCGACCAGTACTGTCTGCTGGGGCCCTACAAGGAGCACCAGGCGCGCACCGAGATCGAGCCCTTCGAGTACCCCGAGGGCAGCGTCTTCCACGCGGTCGTGTCATCGCTCAGAGAACAGGGATGGAAGGTACGGATGACAAAATACGCACGGTAGAGTTTCGTTCATGTCATGATTATTAACGATAGTTACAAAAGTTGACATTCTACATGGTCATGATTTTTAACTATCGTTACAATCATGATTAGAGTAGAAGGGGAGCATGGCATGTAGGGTTTTCATTTCTGAATTGCTGACGCTAGCGTTGAGGTGCGTGTCTCCGATTCGCTGGCCCCATTGGCGTTATGTAACCTTCAGCCGCGCTGGTGTGAGGGCGTTCCCTGCGCGATGTCTGTCGGCCCCTGACATGTATGATAAATATTTGTCCTAGCGCTGCCTCTAAAAAAAAGAATCTCACCGTCCAACCGTCTATGGAATGTCAAATCGCTTCGTTCGAGTTTGTCGTATGATCGAGTTCGTCCATGGTACTCTACTGGTCACAGTGAAGGAAATTCTAACCGCGATCATGATGCAACCCCACCGCTAAGCCTGCCTGCGGTGTTTCGTAATCCCACTCCAAACATCCTTCGCGTTATTTCAACATACTTCCGTCGTGATTGCGTCTGTTTTAGTCGCCTCCGAACCGTCGTTGACTGACGCCTCTCTTTCCTCGTCCGTCGCCCGCAGGTGGTCACAGGCCGCTGGCTGGTAGACGGAAACCCGCAGATCATCCTCTTCGACGTCGGCTCGGCGTCATGGAAGATGAACGAGATGAAGGACGAGCTGTGGAACCTGGCCGGCATCGGCATCCCCAACCCGGACGTCGAGTGCAACGACGCCGTCGTCTTCGGCTACATGGTGGCAGAGTTCCTTCAGCAGGTGCGGCCCGCAGCGGGAAAAAAAAACACTGAGGAGAACGGGACGAATGAGGCTCTAAGACGGCATTATATGGCCTGGTTCTCTGCTGTAATTATGTCCTAATAAGTCACACGATCTGTGTGTCTACTTGGGAAAGACCGATGCCCGGTTTCTGCCAATCAAGTCCGATATCAAGCGAGGCAGGGTCAGGCAGGCTCAATCTATTTTGGCATATTACGAGATGAGATGGATTTATACATCGCTTCAGATGTGTGCCGGAATATCCGTCAGACCAATCTACACAGCACTGGCACGCTACTCCGACACTACTTGCCTGTCCACAAAATACTCTTCGTACGTTTCCCTTACCACAGCGTGTTTTTATCCTCTGTGGGCGCGCCGGTGGGCCAGGGCCGCCGCTCCTCCCAGACTGGGCAGACTTTGGCCGATGTTTGGTCGCGTCTCGGACAGGAATGTGGGTCGTGCCGTCTGAGACAGGGTCGGCCCAAAGACGGTGACTTGGTGATAGTGCTGAGCAAATAGAATGGTCATTAGCGGGAGAAAGAGAGGATGGCAAGAGATTGTTCCGAATAGAACCTTCGTGGTGCGAGAAGGTAGCAATCTTCTACAAATCCCATCGTGTTTATGGCTGTGTAACTCTTGTTGATAAAATGAGCACCTGCCCATGTTTACCGTAATAATTAGTACTGTGATTACAATTTGCCACCTTTTCGGCCCGTCACAATTTTTCACTTCGATAAACACCGACTTCCTTCTTTCTTATCCTACCTAATCTCTCTTCTGCCTGCACCGTCCCATTGGCTGTGTATTTCTCGATCCGAACTGATTGACGGCTATTTAGTATTTACACAAAGTTGCCGGTACGTATGGATGTTGACATCCCACCGACACCTGTCACACGAGCCACTCACTTCACGCTCCAGTAATTTCACATAACCGTCACCACAATGACTGACAGTGCCCAATACCAACCTACCGTATCATTGACACTCTACTGTCACCCCAACATACCGCCGCTCACAACAGTCACCGTTCACCGCCCGATGTATGACATAACAGCGTCACACTCAATAACCCTTCTGTCTGTCTGACGTCTGATCTGCCCTCCCAGTTCCGTAACCGACTGCCGGAGTTCACCGATGGCCCTCCGCGCATGGTGGCGCACTTCCACGAGTGGCTGGCCGGTGTCGGTCTCATCCTGGCCCGGCTCAGGAAGATTGACCTGGCTACCGTGTTCACGACACACGCCACGCTGCTGGGACGCTTCCTCTGCGCCGGAAATACCGACTTCTACAACAACCTGCCCTATGTGAGTGCGGACAGGGAACTGAGAGGAGCTGGGGAAAGTTTTTGTTTGATTATGAGCTCGGATGATAAATGATTTGTCGAATTGCTGTTTCCCGTTTAGTGGAGGCTGGTGGAGTTTTAGTAGTTTTACTATGCTTGTCTGCTAATGTTCGTCTTTCGCCTTCGCCTTTGCTATTAGTTTTGTACGATTTTAGCTAAACCCAATTCAAATATCACTGCTTTGTATTTTGTTCGAAAAAGTCAACGTGAACTCCTCCATCGTGTTTACTGTTCAAACTATTGAACATAACTGAGCCAGTGATAATCCTTGTGCGTAGGCGAACGTGTCAGTTGACCTTGTTTTCCTGTGTTTGTACGTATTCCCCAGTTCAACATTGACGAGGAGGCTGGTAAGCGTCAGATCTACCACCGGTACTGCATGGAGCGGGCGTCCACCCACCTCTGTCACACGTTCACAACCGTCTCCGAGATCACCGGACTGGAGGCCGAGCATCTGCTCAAGAGGTACGCAAAAGGGGAGGGACGGGGTGGTGTTTGAGAGTACCAGGGTTACATACGGGGTTAGAGGTATTCTTTTGCTTATTTACCAATTATTTACGATGCTTGTGACAATGTTGCCGTAATGTCGCAGAGTTTGATCAAGTGCGCTAATTGAAGTCATATGACATTGTGTATCTCGAAATGAATCGGGAGTCGGTTTCATTTCATTGCCATGACATCACTGTTTTTGTGTGTGTATGATCTCCTTTTTACTTATACCTCTTTCTATCCCGCGGCCAGGAAGCCAGACATTGTGACTCCGAATGGTCTGAACGTGAAGAAGTTCTCCGCGCTGCACGAATTCCAGAACTTGCACGCCCTCAGCAAAGCCAAGATCAACGACTTCGTCCGCGGCCACTTCTACGGGTGAGTTGACGTTGGCACTGGTCACCCGTCTCGATACCGATGCGTTCCAACACCTTCAGGTTATTTGAAACTCAAAATAATCATGTTTTACGCCAGTCAGCGACATTTTTCAGGCATATGAAGTTCAATGTGTTGCATTTTTGTGCTTTTCTGGATTCCCTGTTATCTATGATTAATGTATAAGGCGTAGGTTTTATTCCAAGCTAAAATATAATGTGGTCCGTTTGGCGTGAGTAGCGTATCCTTTCTGAATGAATAAGGCGTAGGTAACTTTCAACTGTTATCCTTCTCATTTTCTGTTGCATGTTGCAGTCACTTTGACTTCAATCTTGACAAGACGCTGTACTTCTTCATCGCTGGTCGTTATGAGTTTGGAAACAAGGGAGCCGATATCTTCATCGAGTCACTCTCTCGGCTCAACCACTACCTCAAGGTGGATACATTTGTAATTGTTTTGTAGTTAAAAACATTTGTATTTTTTCTGTCTGTGGATTTAGCGCATACACCCTGTGCTTCGTTTTAGTTTTTGTGACATTACGAACGCGGAGTTCTACGTTCTGTGACTTGATCGGAGTGGATTATTACGGAGCGAGCGAAGCGAGCGTAGTCTTTCCTTAGATTAACGGAAATTTCTGAGTATGAGCGGCCGGCCGGCCGGCCGGCCGGCCGTGGTCACGCTTTTGCGAGGCTTATATCTCAGCAACCACTTGACCGATTTACACGCGGTAATTTTTGTAGGGTAGCTTCATTCCTTCTACCAAGTATTGGACTATTCCCGATGCATGTGGGTGACCCCTTATGCACGTGCCACGTGCAAAACGAAGAGGTGTCAGTTTTGTAATTGTTGCAATATCTCGGTAACTACTTGGCCGATTGCGCTGAAAGTTGGCATGTAGGTAGGCACCCACTAGGCACTGCATATACATGTGCCAGAGTTGGGGTGCTGCTGCACGTGCGCACGTGCAGGGGTCGTTTCCAGATCTCGGGAACGGCTGGACCGATTGCGCTCAAATTTGGTACACGGTTAGGGACCGGTTAGTAGGGTGCCGTGCACAAGTCAGTTGGGACCCATTTTGCACGTGCGCACGTGCAGGGTGCCGCTTCCAGATCTCGAGAACGGCTGGGCCGATTGTGCCCAAATTTGGCACATCGCTAGAGACCAGTTAGTAGTGTGCCGTGCACAAGTCAGTTGGAGGTACCCCCTCGCAATTTCGCACGTGCAAGGCCCACCCTCTCGCTCGCTCCGTTAGTCGCCCCAAAAGGCGTTATACTGGTAATTACGGAGCGAGCGAAGCGAGCGTAGTCTTTCCTTAGATTAACGGAAATTTCTGAGTATGAGCGGCCGGCCGGCCGGCCGGCCGGCCGGCCGTGGTCACGCTTTTGCGAGGCTTATATCTCAGCAACCACTTGACCGATTTACACGCGGTAATTTTTGTAGGGTAGCTTCATTCCTTCTACCAAGTATTGGACTATTCCCGATGCATGTGGGTGACCCCTTATGCACGTGCCACGTGCAAAACGAAGAGGTGTCCGTTTTGTAATTGTTGCAATATCTCGGTAACTACTTGGCCGATTGCGCTGAAAGTTGGCATGTAGGTAGGCACCCACTAGGCACTGCATATCCATGTGCCAGAGTTGGGGCGCTGCTGCACGTGCGCACGTGCAGGGGTCGATTCCAGATCTCGAGAACGGCTGGACCGATGGCGCTCAAATTTGGCACATGGTTAGGGACCGGTTAGTAGGGTGCCGTGCAAAAGTCAGTTGGGCCCCATTTTGCACGTGCGCACGTGCAGGGTGCCGCTTCCAGATCTCGAGAACGGCTGGGCCGATTGTGCTCAAATTTGGCACATCGCTAGAGACCGGTTAGTAGGGTGCCGTGCACAAGTCAGTTGGAGGTACCCCCTCGAAATTTCGCACGTGCAAGGCTCACCCTCTCGCTCGCTCCGTTAGTCGCCCCAAAAGGCGCTATACTGGTGGTAATGTTTGTAGTTACGGAGCGAGCGAACTGAGCGGAGTCTTACGTAGAATAACGGAAATTTCTGAGTATGAGCGGCCGGCCGGCCATTCTGCGACGCTTATATCTCAGCAACCACTTGACCGATTTACACGGGGTAATTTTTGTAGGGTAGCTTCATTCCTTCTACCAAGTATTGGACTATTCCCGATGCATGTGGGTGACCCCTTATGCACGTGCCACGTGCAAAACGAAGAGGTGTCAGTTTTGTAATTGTTGCAATATCTCGGTAACTACTTGGCCGATTGCGCTGAAAGTTGGCATGTAGGTAGGTAGGCACCCACTAGGCAATGCACAATTGCACATCCATGTGCCAGAGTTGGGGTGCTGCTGCACGTGCGCACGTGCAGGGGTCGATTCCAGATCTCGAGAACGGCTGGACCGATGGCGCTCAAATTTGGTACATGGTTAGGGACCGGTTAGTAGGGTGCCGTGCAAAAGTCAGTTGGGACCCATTTTGCACGTGCGCACGTGCAGGGTGCCGCTTCCAGATCTCGAGAAGGGCTAGGCCGATTGTGCTCAAATTTGGCACATCGCTAGAGACCGGTTAGTAGGGTGCCGTGCACAAGTCAGCTGGAGGTACCCCTTCGAAATTTCGCACGTGCAATGGTCACCCTCTCGCTCGCTCCGTTAGTCGCCCCATAAGGCGTTATACTGGTAAGATACGGTACGAAATGGAATTAGGCCTTCCAAATATTTTTTCGAGTCGTCTTGCCTGGACTCACGTCCTGACCACTAGGCATATTACTTCATATGCCTATCACGTCATACAATTATTTCATGAAATGGTTCGTCTATGCAATCATTTTAACAATTGCTGATATCTCCATGAGTCGCAATGTCATGACATCGCACATGTTCCCTGCACCTGCAGAGCTCAGGCTCGGACGTAACGGTCGTCGCGTTCATGATCTTCCCCACCAAGACCAACAACTTCAACGTGGAGAGCTTGCGCGGCCACGCCGTCACCAAGACGCTCAAAGACTCCATCGAGGATATTCAGAAGAAGATCGGCAGCCGAATGTTCGAGATCTGCATGACGTGAGTGTCGTGGGCGCAAAATGACCTTTGCAGTTGACGCGCCCTAAAGCCCCAATAAACAAACAAGACGTGAGTGTCGGTGGTAGGATGGCGATGAATTATTCTGCTTCTAGAAATAGTTGTGAGCGATGTAGCTTTCTCAATAAGACAGCGTTAGGAATGTTCAATGGCATAACGGGCAAAGACACGGACGCAAAAAGTGTAGTCAGGTGCTGCGAGCAGGCCGCCATTGTAGCACCGTTAAAACGATGTTATTTGAATAGATTAGAATCAGTGCTCCTCTGAAATTTACGCAATACTTCTCTCTGTCCTCTGACGTCATGTATTTCCGTCAACTGATTGGCTCACCACCCGAACTGTGACGTGACGCCGTCAGTGATTCGCCGTTTGATTGGCTAACACCCGTTCTATGGCGTGCCTCCGGCAGCGGTCGTCTTCCCGAGAGCACAGAGCTGCTGACGCGAGAGGACAACGTCCGCCTGAAGCGGTGTATCTACTCGATGCAGCGCTCCTGTCTGCCTCCTATCACCACACACAACGTGGTCAATGACGGCGAGGACCCGGTGCTCCGCTCGCTACGGCGCTGCCACCTCTTCAACGACAAATCCGACAGAGTCAAGGTGGGTTGGTGTGCCTTCAGGGTCATCCAACTGATGATTGATGAAGTGTGACCTGTATGGCGTAGCTCTGTATTGCCATGCTCGGCACAAACAATAGGTCAGGGGAGAAATGATGATAGGCTTATCATCTAACTATTTTGGGGTATTTGATGGAAGTTAGGCAAACGGGGCGTGACGTAGCGATGTCAATATCGAGCCTATTATAGGACTGCCGCTGGGTTTTCTGGACTGATTCGGCTTCTCTCGGACCGGCACATTCGCGTGATTAAACGATAGTCAGACATCCCTGGTGCCTAGTCGTACGATCGAATAGCGCTAGGCATGCACATGCTTATGATATAGACTGTTTTGTTTTGCTTGTTTTCCTTTTAAGATTCTTTCCCTTCGTTTGTTTTGGGGTTCGGGTCATTGGCTTGGCCATGGTGAAAATAAGTGTGGGTTTGGGTGCGATTTGGTCAAGGCCAGACGCGTAGCATAGTTTGGCGAGAGTTACGGCCGAAAGACGTCATCGCTGGATCGGGGCCAGGCGACTGGGACGGAGGGGTGGGCTCGGCTGACCTTGTGAAAACTGCGTAGGCTAACCATTGATGCTAACCAAGTATCAATGGGACTGATATTCGTGCAGCTTCAATCTCACCTCAGAGGAAACAAATTTTTGTTTGAATTTATTGCAAATATGCTCGTACCACATATTCGTTGAATAAGGGCGTCGATTTACTTTTAGTTGCAAGAATTTGTTCCTTGCTGCTACTTGGTATTTTGGACACTGGACCACCCTATTGCCCTGCCGAAATTTGACAGGTACTGTCCTAGTTTTTGGTACCATACCTTCCCAACTGACCTCCGTGACCGCGTTCCCAGGTGGTGTTCCACCCCGAGTTCCTGTCGCACACCAACCCTCTGCTCGGTATGGACTACGAGGAGTTTGTGCGCGGCTGTCACATGGGCGTGTTCCCGTCCTACTACGAGCCGTGGGGCTACACGCCGGCAGAGTGCACCGTCATGGGCATACCGTCCATGACCACAAACCTCTCCGGTGAGTGCCAGATGACGTGCTTTCGATGACGGCGCAGTGGTTGACCGTGGAATGTAGATGGCAACAAACTCTTGGCATGCTATCCATGGTTACGGAGCGAGCGAAGCGAGCGTAGTCTTTCCTTAGATTAACGGAAATTTCTGAGTATGAGCGGCCGGCCGGCCGTGGTCACGCTTTTGCGAGGCTTATATCTCAGCAACCACTTGACCGATTTACACGCGGTAATTTTTGTAGGGTAGCTTCATTCCTTCTACCAAGTATTGGACTATTCCCGATGCATGTGGGTGACCCCTTATGCACGTGCCACGTGCAAAACGAAGAGGTGTCAGTTTTGTAATTGTTGCAATATCTCGGTAACTACTTGGCCGATTGCGCTGAAAGTTGGCATGTAGGTAGGCACCCACTAGGCACTGCATATCCATGTGCCAGAGTTGGGGTGCTGCTGCACGTGCGCACGTGCAGGGGTCGTTTCCAGATCTCGGGAACGGCTGGACCGATTGCGCTCAAATTTGGTACACGGATAGGGACCGGTTAGTAGGGTGCCGTGCACAAGTCAGTTGGGACCAATTTTGCACGTGCGCACGTGCAGGGTGCCGCTTCCAGATCTCGATAACGGCTGGGCCGATTGTGCCCAAATTTGGCACATCGCTAGAGACCAGTTAGTAGGGTGCCGTGCACAAGTCAGTTGGAGGTACCCCCTCGCAATTTCGCACGTGCAAGGCCCACCCTCTCGCTCGCTCCGTTAGTCGCCCCAAAAGGCGTTATACTGGTTGTTAGCCTCTCTTGTGAGTCGGCGACAGATCCCTCCGAAACAAAACCGCTACAAAGTGGAGGCCAAGCTGAATTATAGAGTTCAATATTTGTCCTCAATAACTTGTGTTCGTTGGCTGGAATAATTGACTGTCGATTGTTTTATTTTGCAGCATTGTTGTTTGATAAACTAGCCTAAACCATGCCTTTGTCTGCTCCGACCATAAGACATCTAACCCGTTCCTTCTCGACAGGGTTCGGCTGTTTCATGTCGGAGCACATAGCCGACCCGATGTCGTACGGCATCTACATCGTGGACCGGCGCAGTATCGGCCTGGAGGACTCGATCCGCGAGCTGGCCAAGTACATGTACGACTTCACGCGGCTGAACCGGCGCCAGCGGATCATCCAGCGCAACCGTACAGAGCGGCTCAGCGACCTGCTCGACTGGCGCAACCTGGGCATCGTGAGTGGCACAGCGGTGACTGGTAGATGCGTTGGATGGGGGAAATTGTCTACTCTGACAGGGAATAGATCCTCCTATAAAAAAGAATTGGAGAGGGAATCGCTGCAGAAAAGTTAAGTCTTGGTGTTGAGGATCGAGTTAGAACCTTCTATCAATATTACAATGCCTGCTTTTCAATGATATAACGTAAATGTCTTGGACAGTATATGAGTATATGTCATTATTTCACAATGCGAGCCAGATCGGCATACACCGCTATGTAATCGCGCTGGCTTGTCCGCTCCTCCTGGTTTCCAGGCAGAGACCACCATTTATGACATTCGAGCTCCTGTTGCTCGCCTCAGTGCCACGTGCTCAGTGCACCATTTAGTCACGTGACCTCCCCCTCCCCTCGTTGATCTCAGTACAACCCACACCGCCTGACCACGTGACCTTTCCCCCACCGCAGTACTACCGGCGCGCGCGTCAGCTGGCGCTGCACGCCGTCTACCCGGAGATGGCCGTCTCGGAGGAGCACGGCGGCCGCATGAGCTACCCGCGGCCCCTCAGCGAGCCGCCCAGTCCGACCACGTCGCGCTCCACCACGCCGGCGCCCTCCGAGATCGGATCAGATGATGAGGTCGACGATGAGGAGGAGGTAGGTGGCGCTGTTGGTGGTGATGGTGGGTGGGGTCGTGCTGAAGGGCCGTGGTCGTGTTTATGTAAAAGCCTTTATTCCATTGCATCTTAGATTCAAGTGTCAACCATTTCCAAGTGGTATCTCCTGCACGGACTATGGAAATACTTGCACAGAAATTACTAAGCCGGAGTGTATGAAGTAACATTTGCTCTCTCTTAGTGGGCGGCTGATCCATAGCAGTTTCCCTGCTTTGCTTAACTTTCCACATTCCAGTTGCTTTTTGAACTAAACCATGTGGTCCATCTCACACATGATATTATAGCTGGTTTACCGATGTGTTACCTGAACTGCTTCCTTTCGTCGCGCCCTGGTGTTCCATCCGTCACCAGGCGAGCTGGGTTCGAAACGCGAACGGCATGTACACGCTCCAGTACCGCTGATCCTCACTGTCGCTCCTAGTCCTGTCCTACGCCCACGTAACCCAGGTGAGACAAACAGGCATCCGGAGATGTCTCAATTATCATCCTACGAGACCTATCCACTAACAGCCGGTTAGTACCGTATTGCGTTTCTGTTTGAGTGTTTTGTTTTGTGGGGTTGAAGCCGATATTCTCATGGATTTTTTTCTTCTGGTAACCAGCTAAGTGTAGAGATCCGTTATATTGATTAATTAGCTCGTTTTCCATCATTTGACCGTTACTCAGCGACCTTGGAGGAAAATTATATCGCGCATTTTATTTTGGCCTTTTATTTTCACGTGATATGGTTCTTCCAATAAACTGCACTGATTGAACAACTTCCTTGTTTTGCGTTTGGTAACCAAACCCGTTATCGCTGATTGTGCTGCTAGTGTCATATGTTCCAACCTGTTTTATTTTGCATCTTGCTGACGCTTCGGTCCCGTTTTTCGACAGCTGCTGGAGCTGGCTATCAAAGACGACCAGTAAGACGTCCGAGCGGCCAGCCTCGGGCTAGTGTCGCCACTCCGCGACGGCTAATGGAGTGTCTGTGAACGCCGGGCTCGGTGTTACGCGCGCGCATGGGTGTGTGCGTGTCTGCGCTTATCTGAGAGAGAACTGGAGATCTGACACCCGATGATCTGTTTCGCCGAGGAGCGGAGGCGGTGCTGCGCGCGCGCGCGATGATTTAGTAGCAGGGCTCCGTTTTGTCACCGGTGTATGAGATGTGTCGCTATTCTGGGTGGGGATATGACGTGTGATTTGCAATTAGCTCGCTGTGTGTGCTGTTCTGATTCTGTTTTCTAACGGATGCTAACGTGAGGATAAGTCTTGCCGTACGATAAACTTCAGTCATCATTTTTTTTTTGTCGAATACTCAAGTCCATGACAATATTGGATTCCAGTCAGTTCTTGTGCAATAAATAGTGAATTGATGTATTTTATAATTGCTGTTGTCAAATTGAGCTAGGCTCACATGGTACCTACATCGTTCAACGAAAGGCTTCCCTTTACTGTGTAGCGAATGCTTATGCTCGCGTCTAACTACGATGCCTCTGTGTTAAACTGGCACGATAGTTTGCTGTGCTTTCAATGTTTCGGGTGTCAGACACTAATGCCACAAAGGCAGGCAGTCCTTTTTGGAAGGCGCTAACTATTTTAGGCCACGTATTTCCGATATTAATCACTAATGACAATGTATAAGTGCAATTTCTGTTCTTAAATTGATGTTATCCATCTTGCCGAGGATGCACTGATGAATTATCGGCAGGGCTGCCCGGCCGCTGTTGGCTGCGCCAGTCATGTACTACTCAGGAGGAGGTGGGATCACTCCTCGTACTAACGCCGCCAGTTTGCGCACGCGCGTGGGACGCTCAGGTGTGCGCCGTCTGTCAGGGTGTGCGTTTACGAACGCACGTGTGTGTATGTGTGTGTGTGCTCGCGTGTCTGCTGAGGCGAGGACTGCTCGGTGTTGGTCAGAGGCCGGCCGACGGTCCGTGACGAGGGCGCTCTCGTCGTCAGCTAGTCGTGCGACAACCAGCGACACAGTACTGCCGACCGGGGTGGCGCTCGGACGTCACGTCCTGCGTGACGTGGGACGTCACGTTATGCGTCACACGCCGCCCCGCGAGCGGCGGCCGGTGGAGGTCGGACGCGCGCGCGCTAATCATGTTACGGGAACTAACTGCCAGCGGGCCTTCTGTGAGCTCTGTACATACGATTAACATGTCGCCCGAGGGAGGAGCGTGTATTAGCCGGTCTGAGGTGTGTGACTGTCTGGGTGAATGGCTGTTAAAATACAACATCATTGGTAGATGTTTTTTGTGTCTGAAATTATGCTGTTGTGTGCTGTTATGGATTGTCAGAAGAATCTAAACGAAACTGGATATTTACCCTCCTGCCATTTTTGTAATCTTTCATGCATTTTCTATGCTTTTTATTCGGCCGAAATAGTGTGGATTGAAGCACAGATATAAACGAAACGTTATCGTCCTTTCGCTTGTTGAATGCCATCAGTGCCTCAGCGGTGTCTATGGACATTGTGCCTCTTCATTTGAGTTTCGTATGTATGCGATGGATGTGAATTGCAGTGGTTCCGTCAGATGTATCCAGTAGGCGTTCGAAACGTCTGCTGCATTGTTCCAGCGACCTTCGGAACAAGTGGGCTGGCATTTCACTGGCTGGTCACATCTTCTCTGGCGACCTAGGTATGTGCTAATTGAATTGCCGACCGAAATGTGCCAGTCAGTGAGTGGATGTCTGATTTTGACGGGGATGAGCAAGAATCTAGTCGTCATGAAAAGGACTGAAATCCGTATTTCCGAATTGACAGCATCACTGAATGCGCTCAGAGCCTGACCTGTGCAAAATGATCCCGACTTTTTGTGCGTACCTTTGCAGATATCCTGATTCTGTGAAGTACCTAATCATCTTATCCTGCGTGTGATTATATGTGCTGTAATGTTACGGAGCCCGACGCTCACCACGGTCTTCATTTCTACGTGAGTTGGCCGACATTGGCTACCTGCATAGTTTTCATTTTCGGGAATGTAAAATTCAGCTAATGTTATTCCGTGATCTCATTCAAACGAATACGGTGACGTTGAACACAGAGCACCCTTTGGTTCGTTGCATTATGGTTAAGCCATGGATTAGGTATTCCTCATGAAGTCATTAGTCATGAAGTATTCCTCATGGATTAGGAATACTTCATCCATGGTTTAGCTGAAGTTAGCTACTGAAAAGTGTCATTTGCTGTGTCAGCAATGGCAAAAGCGTTTTTGATTAAGCGTGGATTCCTTTTGTTCGCGGACAGTGATTGATCTATTCTGAACTTTTTGAACTGAATAACTATAGAGACTGCAAAGTTCACTGCTGATTTTCACCGGCAGAGTCACCGCGTCTCTGCCCCGGCCGGCGATAGTTTCGTTCCGCCTCACTGGATGGCGCTGCGATCGGCGGCCGCGGGCGCCGCTGCGGGGAGACGGGCGCGCGGCGGGCCCGGCGGACGGCGCCGGCTCGCGGCGGCGCAGTACCGCTCCGGTCGTGACGGGTGAGGTCCGCACGCGCGCCGCCGCTGTCCGATTCCTCCGCCGTGCGCCGCGCCAGCCAGTCGTCCTCCCGCTCCGCCATGGGTCGCAAGGACAGCATTCCCGACGACGCCCCGGCGCCGCGGCTCTGCGAGCTCGTCAAGTGGGCGCACTTCCAGGGGTACGGCTTCAACCTGCACTCGGAGAAGGGCAGGGAGGGTCAGTTTATCGGCAAGATCGACCCGCAGTCCCCTGCTGAGGCGTGCGGCCTGCAGGAGGGAGATCAGATTATCGAGGTGAACGGTGTGAACACGAGCAATGAGAACCACAAGCAGGTGGTGAGCCGCATCAAGACGCACTCGGACCATGCCAGCCTGCTGGTGGTCGACGCGAAGGCGGCCGAGTACTACAAGAAGCGGAACATCGTGGTGAATGGCTCCATGCCCAACGTGAAACACATGAAGAGCGCCCCGGTGACGGCGGCTGGGGATAAGGAATCTGAGAACAAGGTAAGTCCGCCCCAGCTGCCTTGTCGGTAGGGGCTGGGGAGCTTGGTCGGGTGTTACGTTCGTGTTCGGTGTTTAGTGTTCCGCTGGTAATGAGTTGGCTGTTGTGGTTGATGTGGTTCGTAGTTCTTTTTTGTTTTGGTTGTGGTCCGTCGTAGAAGCACGTCCTTGGTTGACCTGATTGGCTGTCTTTTTGTCTTTTGTGTCTTTGTGGGTGTCTTTTGTGATCAGATTAGTACGTGCTCAATGTCTTAGATCGTAATGACTCGGTGCACCACAGAAATACACGCCACACGGCGCAGTATCAAACTCACCGCTCAACAAACGGACATAACGCAGCACAGTATATCACAGCACACACGGCACATTCACGGTGCGTCACCGCACACACCCACTGCTGCAGCCTGCAGCTATCTCACCGGTGACATCACCCGTTTTTGCATGTTTTCTGGCTCTCTCATCGAATGAACGGTGAATGTTTTCGACGCCTGTTTTGCTCCCGTCCACCAATTGATAGATGAAGTGTGTTTGGGATGTCGCAAGAATAGCGGGCCGGGTTTCATTCGTGAGGGACCGGCATCGATGCCTTGCTTCACTCTGAACAAACGGTTTCTTCTGAGAGGTGACCCCGTACGCGTGGGTGGTGCCCTGCCTTGACCTGAAGGTGGGAGCCGGTCGGCCAGGCATGCATACTGCAACTCATGCTTGGTCGGTTGCACCCTTGCGCTGTGCTTTTCTTCGTCTGACATAAGATAATTCATTTGTAGCATTAGCCATTATACTGTGACGCTGATTGCTGATGGCTGCTCCGAAACAAAACCTCAACATTGTGATGAGCGATGCGCACATACCAGCGCGTGAAAGCGGAAGATCCAATTTCGGGTTTCTCGTCAGAGGCGACAGTGATGACGGGTGGCCCGTACCGGCTTTGGTCCTTGGACTGATGTTGGGGAGAGAGTTGTCTGGTCGGCAGGGCTAAGCCGGATGGACGAAGCTCGTAACCATCCGCCTACAAACCGCACAGACGGCGATACCAGGCGAACTTCCTCTGTTCTCGGCCTCGACTGGATAGTGCCCGCAGTGGTGTCTCACATTTCCTTATGTGTCTCACATTTGAGTGTGGCACTGTGTGAATTGTTTCACACTACGACTGGCGACACTGTGCTCGCACGTTGACACCCTCGCAGCCCCGTCAGCTCTCGGCCTGCAGTGTAGGCGCGCGCCACTGTCACGTCACGAACCCGTGGGGAGCCTGTGACGGATCTGTCACACGGAGCTGTCACACGGCTGTGCGACGGTCTGTCACGACACCTGCCGGTCCCGCGACCTATCATCGCGTCGTTAGCAGAATGACGGGCTTCTGTAGATCGTAACTCTGTCAGCTTCGCGATTTTTCATCCCTCGCTCTCTCCTAACAATCATACTGTCATCTCTAACCTTGAAGGGCACTGATCCTTCAACGAATTCCGGCTAAATCGTCCACATTCATGCTAAATATCGAGCTCTCTTTGACAGCCATCAAGAACTGCCTCCGACTCACTCAGTCCCTCAGTTTCCCATGGCCACAGCTCCATCGCTCCTCGATTGAGTTTCAGGCGACGTGACGCTGCTTTTTGCCGCTGGTCCCGGGGTGCGACCACCGGTGAGCAGCTGACGTCCGCGCCGTTCGGCCGCTGCGGGCGCCGCGTCCGGCGAAAGTCGGACGCGCGCGCCGTGCCTCGCTGGGACCGGGGGACGCGGGCAAGGCCGGCTCCGGCTCCGGGAGGCTCCGGGAGCCGTCCGTAGAGGGGCGCGGCCTCCCCGCAGCCGGGGGAAGGGACGGGCGACTCGAGGAGGGTGGGTGAGCGGCCGGCGCGCCGCGGTAGAGCTCCGGCCCGGCCAGAACTCGAGCCTTGTAATGGGGCGACTCGGCGGCGGTTAGGAGAGTGGGCAGACCGGTCCGGCGGCTGGGATAACTGCCAGGTGACCGGCGGGCCATCCCGACGGGAAAAAACAGCCACACTCGCCGGCAGCTCAGTGTTTAAACGGCGCATCAGCATGCAGGCCGTTCCTAGTTGCCCGTTTGGGACGAGTCGTCTCGTTTCTGTGCTGGCGGCGAGTCAGCTCTGCATCTGAAGGGCACGCCGGTGGCGGGACGAGTCTGAAATTAGAGGCGTCATGGGCCGATCATGCCGGGTTCATCTGCATCCACTTGTTGACTCACTATTGCGGTGGACGGGAGTTGCCTTCGTGCGTGAACTTCCAACCGCGTTATGAAAAGTTCTCGAATATCATATTTGAGTTCCAGGTTGAGCTCACGGGCGCTGGATATGGCTCGATACACTTGAATTTAAAGTTGAAGAATGAATATAAACGTGCGAGTCACGTTTGTTGAGAAACCCCAATGCGGACTCCATATTTTAAAGCCGCAATATTATGAGCCTGTGCAATGTGCATGAGCAAATATTGAATAAACCGAAGCTGTAGTATTGTCTGGCCCAGTTGCTTTGTTTGCCGGTGCAATCTTGACCTCATTCGTAGTCGCTCATGTCGCTGATATGTTCATTGGCGTTTGATTTCCCTGCCATTGCTATCGGCGTAGAATTTGTTCCTTGTGCCGGAGCACAAAGGTCGTAGCGTCGATAACACCAGTCTGTTCGAAGCGTAGTCCGATGAACGCTTTCTTTTCACTTCCAATGGCTTATTTGTTTTAAAAAAGCGTGTGTTTGATTAGCGGGATTCCTGGTAGGCAGCTTCTACCTAAAATCCTTCTTGGTAATCGTAATTCCCTCATGAACGTTCCGTTTATCCCTGCCATTACGTGCATATCAAATTAGCATTCCACAAATCTTCCAAGGCCATCCAAGCATGCGGGTCGCAGGCCGTGGGCTAGTCGCTAGAAAAACGACAGTGGCTGCGCCCGGAAGCGAAAGTGGGTAGTAGTATGCGGGATTGGGTCTGGGAGCGTCAGTGGCGCGCGACTCTCAGTGACGGGCCGGTAACGACACCGGTCGTTGGCCGGGCCGGCGCCGTGGGGTGCGCTGGGCGCTCCCGTGAGTGGGCGCGCACGGCTCACACCAGTGACGGTTACATTTCCAGGTGAGGTCACACGTTATGACATCATGTCTGTCGGGCCCACGTCATGTCGGGAATGTGTCTCGGAGACTGGTGCGTTGCTACAGAACAGCGCTGCTGCTCACTTTTTACCTGGAATACAATATCTAGGGACACCTTTACTTAAAAAGGGCATTTGAGGGACAGAATCAAATCCCTGGTTGGTCTTGTCTCTCTGCAATTCGCA